TAGATCCTGATTATTGTAAAAAAATGAACACTCAATCAATACAATCTTTCCGGCTTTCGCCATCGCATTAGGAGTAGGAGTACTATAGATCTCGACGAGTTCCTCAGGAAATAGGGCTGCATCGACTGATCGACCTCCAGTTTGCTTGTGAGTACCGTCACGACTTGTATTGTGCTTGTAAAGCTGTATCAGTTGATTGATCTTTTATGAGTCATAATATAGGTTAGTTATCGATCTGTATCGTAGTTTGTAAGGCTGCATCAGCTGATTGATCTCTCATGAATTATAATATAGATCAAAGTTATCGATCTTGTGTTAAATAACTTATTGTTTCATACAATATCACCAGTTATCGAATCTGCTAAGATTAGTAAGATTTTTCTTATTGTTTTTTGGTTGATTCACCAGTTATCGATCTTGTTATAATTAATGTTTTATTAATTATAAAAAAATCACCTAATTAAGATAGAGATAGATCGACATCATATCATCTTAATTGGTCATCCTTTGATCTGGTCATGTTTTAAATCTTATAGTTGGTGGCTTAATTCTGCTAGATCAGCTGTTTTATCTCTATTCCAGTCAAACATAGTATGCATCAAAGACATGTTTAAATTTTGAATAAACTCATTAGTTAATTAGATCTAATCTAATGACATTACCAAAGCTACATCGATCCGATCGAACCTCATTGGTAAGACTTTAAATTAGAAATTATCGATTAGTTGTCTTATTTATGATTAAGATATGTACCCTGTTTGTTTGCTATGACTGCATCGGCTATTTTAGTCGATTTATCTATACTCTCACGTATATAGCATGTTTTCATGAATCTGTCAACATATAGATGGTTTTATAAATTCTTTGGCTTTAATTTATTATCATTATCATAGATGCATCGATCCAATCGAACCTTACTGTTGATGATAATAGATTAGACACAAAACTGTTTGTAGATTCATTTATATTAGACAGTCGATTTATTCGCATGTTATACTCTTTTCATCAAACTTATCGGCTCAACGCTTTATATCGATCGTGTTCCATTTAGCCGATGATGCTTTCTAATGTTTCATGAGCATCGATTATTTTGATTCGTATCATTATCATTTAATATTAGCCTATAATCCTTGATTTAAAGATCTTCATTTCATGCATACACTGGATATCGACTATTTAGTCAATATCCTTATTGAATCGGCTATTTAGCCGTATATTTGGAACTGTTTGGTGCAACACCGATATGTGCCACCTTAAATTACTGATAAGATTTTCTCTCCTTGTCAATTGCAGGTCAAATTGACTGGCACGTCATTGGGTTTTCAAAATCGGCTGGTTCTGTGTTGAAACCAAGCAGATCTCTGGTCTTGTTTCACTCAGATCTTACGATTTGCTGTGTGTTGATCACATCGTCTCGTTCCACTCAGATTTTTCGACTTGCTATGTGTTAATCACATCGTCACATTTTTATGTGAACAATAATATATAGCAATGCTCTTCCAAATCTATTCTATATCTATATTTATACTTAAAAAAAAAGCGAACTAATTAGAAATGGACTCTCACCTAAATATTTTGTACCTCGTCCCCAAGCGGACCCGGTCGGAAACGGGTCGAAAACTTTTTATATTGACATACTGTATCCGTGTCCCCAAGCGTTGGATTTTTTTTCACCGTCCAGAAGTCTACCCGCCCACGGTACCCGCGCTCGCGTGTACTTCCTTTCTATGGAATCGACAAAATCGGAAAGCGCCGAGTTCACCCCGATCCGCTGCCCATACCCGCGCGTGCCTCCACCTCCGCAAGACCACGCCGCCAACCGCTCCCTCCCGTCCGCTCGGTCCCCCTCGCCTCCCCGATCCCCGGATCCACCGCGATGGGCAGCCTCGGCGGCGACGCGGAGCCACAGGGCGCGAGGCGGCGGCCATGGGTCCTGTGCCCTCTCCCACGACAGCGGCGGCGCCCCCACCCTGCAGCACGCACGGACCAGATCTATCCCGCACCAAACGTGGCGGCGCCTTCACCCCTACCGTCGGCGCCACCATCTCCACCCGGTCGACGACGACAGCGGAGGCCGGGGTCGCCTTCCTTCTCCCACGCGCAGGAGCTGAGTCGCAATCAGGTGCTCAGGGCATCAGGCGCTAGGCGGCGGCGCTCTCCTCTCCACTCGGATTTGCGGCACGGCGGCGGCTCCCCGTCCTCCCACGGACACCGCCGATAGGGCCGCTGACCCGTCACGCCAGGTCTCCGCGACGCCGCCCGACTCCACCCAAACACCACGACGGGTCTCCGCCGCCGCTGCAACCCAGGCGATCCTCGACGAGCAACCAACAAGTATGCCCACCCCTTCTCTTCCCTTTATGGTGTGCCAATTTGTGTTCGGGTCTCATCAAATTAATTAGTGGTACTAACTATGATCCCATACAAATATTATCTTCCGTATGTGTGCATACCCATAATCCTTCAGTAGATCCATATCTGCAGTTCGGTGTGCTTTGATTTGAATTTTGGGTGACCTTGTCCTTCCCTTTGCGCTGTGTGAAATCATGGAGATGCAGATGGGCCCGAAACTGTGAATGTAGTGCTGATGAACATTTTCTGAATTGCATGTCATTCAGCAGTCGGACAGCAACTGCAAGCACGTAATTAGCTTAACCCTCTACCCTCCTGGAGCCTATTTATTCTCTGCTTATTTTAGATTTTGAGCAATTAGCGAACAAGCTTAAATATGGTTAAGCTACCAGATATACACCATACCGATGAACAACTAACGTTTCTCTGACTATGTCGATTAGCTAACTAAATTTGTTGCAGAGGCATGTATTCTGTTTGATAGAAAACAGTTTCTTTGGGTTATGGACAGTGACGGACCTAGGATTTTACCTCTAGGTATGCGCAGCAAAAAAATTTCTTATGCAATTCGGTAAACCATATATAATTTGGTAAAACCATATTCTCATTCGGTAAAACCGTATTCTAAAACCATATTGAGTTATTGACTCATGTTTGGACTTTGGAACTTACTGACTGGTGCTGATGAACTTGCCTGGAGTTCTGGACCTCGCGTGTCGCCCTGAGGAGCCGAGCAGATCGCCATCGCCACCTCGCCGGTTCGTCGCGGGCTCGCGGCTTCTCCTTTCCTGTCGTGGCGTCGCCCTAAAGGAGCCAGGCAGGAGCAGATCGTCGTGGACTCGTGGCCAGGAAATCCCGCGGATCGCCGTCGGCCATCGCCGTCTCCAACTCTCCCGTCTAGTCGTCTTCTCGGCTTCTCCAGTTCTCTTCGTCCTCGATCGAGAATTCGAGATGTGTCACAGCGCCGCCCAGCAGTTACTCTGTCCGCGGAGTCCGCGCCTGCTAGGTGCTAGCGAGATCGCGGAACCGAGAGTCCAGGACGGAAGCCAAAGCGCTGATCGTTTCCTTTTTTTATTTTTTTTACATTGAAATTTTCTACCTATCTCTATGACTGGCGGACCCCAGGGTATGCGGTGGCCCACCCTACATACCCTGTGGGTCCGTCCCTGGTTATGGATAAGTTAATTTGAATATATGGGATGTGTTCAGATTCTCCAACTTATTTATCCAGTTACATGAAGGAATATAATTGATACATTTGTCTTTGGAAGGGCAGGCCTGGTGCAGTGGTGAGAGCTGTCTCACTGAGTCACCAGGTCGTGGGTTCGAAGCAGCCTCTCCGCAGATTTTGCGGGGGGAGGCTTGCCTTGGTTTTTCCCTTCCCCAGACCCCACTCATGTGGGAGCCTCCGGCACTTGGTCTGCCCTTTTTTTTTGTCTTTGGATAGCAAAGGAAAAAAAAGGGCTAATGGCTTTGATGTTCAGGTCTGTTGGTAGCCTCTCCGCCACCAGCATCAGAGGGAATCCACCCCCGTCCCACAATGTTCCTCAACGCCGTCATCCTCTACAACGTCGAAAGTATTGCCACTACCGAATTTGCTCCAATCAGTTAGCATCGCCGCACAATCTTTATTTGTCGGTGAAGCTCTTTAAACTAATCACCTTCAGCAAAATAATCCGTTTGATCGGAAATTGGTTGATGCAGCCATATCTCGTGTTGTTTCAATCTGTTGCAAATTTTGCTTGTGCTCGATTAGTGGGTAAGGAAAGGAGACGAGAATAGATACAAAAAAACAAGTAAAGCCAATAAAAGGAAAAAAAATAAAAACCAGTTCACAAATCTTCATGTCGGCATACAATGTGAAGTCAAGCTTGGCGATCTTCTTTTTTGCATATATTCTAAGCTCGCTCCCCAGGAGGATGATTCTCTTCTTTTCACTGGGATAAGTGAAGGTGCAGCCATGCTTAATCTACATTAAGGTTGCTGTCAGCAAAAGTTTACCCTCTGGACTGGTCAAGCAGTCAAACCTGCGACCCACAAAGTAAAATTGTATCTGACCATTCTTTTTGGAGTCAATGAATAAAACTATGCTACTCTTCCAAAAGCATGAAGTTTCCCATTTTTATTTGCAGTTAGGAGGGTGCTCTGAATGTGCAAGGAGTTTGTCAAACTACTGTGACACATTGAACACTCTTACTGCATATTACAATCAACATGTCACCGAGTGGAATATAATGTTGAATTATTCATGTTGAGTCTTGCCTCTAGCTATTTCAAGGACTTCATGTTATAAATTCTTTAAGCACCCATATATCTCTAAGTGAGGTTATTTTTCAAGTACTTATTAAATTTGCCTTGAAGTTTTTAAATCCAAATTTCCTAGGAAACTGTCAAATGTTTGTTGTGGAGGGGAAAGCAATATTAGCATCAAAGATAAAACCAGGTGTTAACAGAATGGTCTATCAGGTACGTCCGTTTGTAGCTACTCAATAGTTACATTCTTCCTTAATTTTCTCTAAGCCGTAAGGCCTTGTCTCATGTGTAAGCTTGGTTTTGAGTCCAACGCTACTAACAAAAAAAATTGATTTCAATTGGAATCTCATGCTAAAGTTTTTATGAGGTTTTATGCAGTCTCTTGTGAATCTGGATTATGTGACAAAGTCACCGAACAGTCCCTGTTTGAAAGCATTCTTGGCTTGGATTCTTAAAGCAATGGCTTTAGGTAATCTTGAAGACGTTTTCCCTGCAACAAGCCTGTGAAAAGATAATGGTATTCAAGCTACATATATAAGAATACACTAGCATCCGTTGCTATGGCAGTGTTTGTAATATCATGTGGCCTATTTTATAGCAGCTTTGGAGTACGAGTCTAAATGAGGTAGAATGAAATTTATTCATTACAGTAGAATCCAATGATATTGTAATCTTATTATAGGCACATATTCTCTTTTTTTATATTTTTTTTTGAAAAGTGTGATTTGATACATAGTAAAATGTGTTTGATTTGATTTAAAATTACATGTGATGTGTTACCGTGTAAAACCAAATAGGCGTGAGTGCCAAAGGTGCACATGTTCTATTTAAAGCTCAAAGGAATGAAAAGAAAAACAAAAATTGTTTGTTTGTGTGTGTGTCAATAAATCACTTATTTTTAAATCACTATTAAGTAGAAAATTATTTTGTCAACTAATGTATTTAATTATACTTTTTCTAATGGATATTAGGTGATTAACATAATTGTCAAAGTCGAGAACCTTTTCTGTTGGAAGCAGCAAGGTTTAACATTTCAATATCATGAGCGTCTAAAAAACGATGATATAATTTATGAAAAGAATGATACATATGTGTCATGTACTGCCTCGTTGAGCTGCTATACAATGTTGCCTAACACAAACAGTGACAATATGTCATTAAAATAAATGTTTATAAATCAAAACTTTAAGTATCCTATATTATATGAATTTTTCTAAAAAATAAAATTAATCGTGAAATAATTCAGTGTTTAAAGGCGTGGAACGATTAAGCGCCAAAGAAGGGAAATCACTGGTCAGATGTAGGAGTCACCGTCAGAGAAGCCTTGCCTATTACAACCATGAACACGTGTCCACTAGTTGTTAAAAAAAATCGCTAACAAAATTAATCTGGAGCAGAATCTACCGACTAGACGCTGTTTAGTTGGTGCTGGACGAATTGATGAAACTTATCATCTTTTTTAGGACAACCGTGGCAATAAATCGTCACATGCGAATGCATGCAGTACTTGCATTGCATCGCCGCATCAAAAAGTTGTCAATCAATTCCACCGCACAATTCCTCCATGTGCCCTCTTCTTTGATCAATCCATTTAATTTCCGGTTAAATTTTTTGAAATCTAATTAATCCCCTCAAGAAACCAACTTAAAATTTACACAGAAATCATCTCTCTTTCTCTATGTCACGCCGCGCAGCCACCGATGCAAGCACGGCACGGATCATCAATTGGTGTTGAACGCGGAGCAGACGTCCCTGACCTCGCCGGCGTCGTCGCCGGTGATGGCGCCGATGGTGCCCATCTTGACCATGGCGGCGGCGAAGTCCCGCTCGAAGCTGCGCGCCGAGGGGCCGAGGTACGCGTCGACGAGCGCGCGGGTGGCGTTGCTGTTGGCGAGCGCGGCGTCGGAGGCGATGACTGCGAAGCCGGAGCGGATGTTCCGGAGGATGGAGTCGTCGAAGTCGGTCCCGCTGCCGCGGTCCAGCGGCAGCCGCGTATTGAAGTCGCCCGGCGGGCATCGGGCCTTGAGCTCCGCCAGGAACGGCGCCGGGATCGACGGGTCCGCACCCCGACCGCCGCCCGGCAGCGGGTAGCTGTACAGCCGGTCCTTCACGAAGAAGCACGCCGTCGTCCCACCGTGTGCGCCGCTGCGGCCGGTCTCGTTCGTTTGCCCCAGTAAGTGTCAGTGATGATAGGCGGCGTCCACGTCCATGCACGTGAAGGTGAAGGTACCTCTACCTGTGAGGAGGACGAGGTCGCGGTCGTCGAGGCCGCTCGCGGCGAACCGTGAGCGGAGCACGCTGATGGAGTCCCCAGCGTCGGGAAGCACGTCGGCGTCGCGGAGGTTGGAGGTTAGCCCGTCGCGCCGCCCCGTGGGCACGTCGAACGACGGGCCGCCCGTCTGGTTGGCATGGGATGCATTCCAATTTCCAGCGCGTCAGCTGCTACGACGTGCATGACTACTTAGGTAGTATAGTTATATCCGGCTGCATGTTACCATGGCGACGGCGTCGCGCGCGGCGAGCGCGAGGATGTCGGCGCAGGAGACGACGCCGGGGCACTGGTCCTCGAGCTGCGCCTTGGCGGCGTCCACCACGTCCTGGCCGCGCAGGCCCTGGTTCTTGGCGTTGTCCACCTCGGCGTCGTTGCTCGCGCTCCTGATCAGCACCGACGCGTCGCACCCCTGCATATATTGCCGAACGCCGGACGCCGGCCGCCGGCGAACACGCAGACACACACACGTACGTAAAAGCTAGCAGCAGAAGTAATCGGCCGGACTTGCATTGCTGGACACGAGCACGCATACACACGTCGTATGGTACCTTGACGAAGCAGTCGTGGAACTGGAGGCGGAGCAGCGCGGGGAGGATGGTGGGGTCGTTGGCGGCGGCGTCCTGGACGGCGGCGGTGACCGTGTCCTCGGCGTCCGGGCAGGAGTCGGAGTAGAAGCCCACCTGGAGCTGGGCACTTCCAACTCCGACTCCAACAAGCAACAGCAAGAACGCCGCCGCCGCCTCGCCGGCTCGGGACACCATGCCGCCGCGGCTTCTGGCCATTGATAGCTCCAAGAAGATGAACTAGCTAGGAAAGGAAACCAATGGCAACCTGCTGGCCGAGGCCGGATCGAGTCTAATGCTTGACTCGGTGAATGGACGGCATGGCTAGCTGTGGAACTTGTCTTGAGGAATGTCTTTATACACCACAGTCCACAGCGGACGATGGAACACGGACACTCACATGGAACAAGTGTGCATATATAGTTTATAGGAGAAAAATATGTTTTGTGGGTCTCTCTCATGTCCATGTGTGGCTTCCATGGATTCACGTAGTACCAAACAAGCAGTCTCGAGAAAAGGCAATCTTCTTAAATAAATAAAGGTACTAAACTGCCATTAAAACAAGTTGATGGGGGCGTGGTTAGACTGATGATCTAGATGATAAGCTCACATGTCGACACAAGAGGAATTTGATGGGAACTATTACCTAAACCTGTTGGTAAGCCATTGATGTGCAGGCATGATATGGCTGGCCATGGCCATGATTGTTGCTTGCACCTCCTTTTGTACGTACCATCTGTCTGGTGATTGGGACGGACTTGGCAGCTGGCCATTTTCAACTTGAGATCGTATACACAGTACAAATTTCAAAACAAATTGGGAATATGTACAAACATATGGTTTCAGTCCACTGACTTGTGCTTGCTGCCTTTGTGCAAATAAAGGTACCACGGATGCTGTAGATTCTTTGAAACAGTACAAATTGCCATTTGTGTACAAATTTCCCTCTTCGAAAGGTGCTCGCCGCCAGCGGCTTTTCCACCACGATGCTGTAGGTTTTTGGGAGCAGTAAAACCCACGGGCCCGGCTGGTCTGGGACAGCGTGTACCGTCGGTTTCTCCAGCCGTTTTTACTCCCGTGACTGCGTGCAGAAACACCGCCGTCTGCAGTGCAAGTGCAACTTTGTCCCGGCCTGCAACCTGCATTCATCCGCCGGAGATCTCAATGCGCAAATGGTAGCAAGACACCAAGAGGAGCGGTCTCAGCCTGATGTAAGCTTCTGCCCCATTAGCTCATGTGTAGTAGGGACCGGTCTGTTTTAGTTATCTTTTCTGGAACTTTTTGAAACAAGACACTGCCATTTTTCCTCAGAAAGTAGACGGTTTCGCCATTCTTTCCTTAAAAATAGTAGCCGGTTTCCTTGTATTCTTATAAAAAATAGACCGTTTCACCCATGTTAGTTACGGTTCATACTTTGACCACATTTGTTGGTAACTTGTGTGACAAAGGGTTGGTAACCTCTCTTGAGTCTCCTCCCTGAACCCATGCATCTAACCATACACAACGGACACTTTATTATGTACTTTTCTCTTCCTTTTCGCTTCATTCAAGTTTGTTAACCATGATGTCTCTCCTCCTCTTTCTTTGTTCTGTTTTTGCTATCGTAAAATATCTCCAAATTCCAACAATTTCACTGTCAAATCTCTTTTTTTTTCTTTTGCACGGCCTGAAACAACCACCATAGTCGTACATTTAAACTCACACGGTCGCTAGCTTTTTCTCGCATGTATAATAATCAGCCAATAGGATCTCCCCTCTCACGTGTTACCTTCTCAACCCAATTATGCTTGATTGCTCATAATATATTCTGAACCATGTAGGATCTACCAAGTACATAACCTCTCAAAGGGTTTCGGTTCTTGAACTCTACAAAGTGGCTTACTCCAAGCGAGGTGTGAGAATCAGGATCATAATTGAACCTAGAGTAGACCACTTCAAAATTTTAGTGACTGAAATCCTCACTTTTGACAGTTTGTGGTGCTAGATAAGGATCTAGGAAATATTCTCTCCGTTCCAAATTATAGATCGTTTTGGCTTTTTTAGATACATAGCTTTTGCTATACATCTAGACACAATATATACTTAGGTGCATAGAACTATAGATATGATCATTTTGGTCCAATGGGGTGGATGGCCCTAGGCTTTGCCTTAAGAATACTAGGATTCAAATGCGAACTTTTGCCCGTCAAAAATTCACATTTGAATCCTAGTATTCTTAAGGCAAAGCCTAGGGCCAGCAAAAGTTCACATTTGAATCTAGTATTCTTAAGGCAAAGCCTAGGGCCATCCAACCCCCCCCCCACCCCACCCACACCACACACACACACATCCAACCCCCCCCCCCCCACACACACACACACACACACACATACACACCATGGTTGAGTTTTTTCCCGGATTTATTTTAAGATTTAACTACAAGCTATTTTTTTTAATGGTAGGCATCGACGCGTCGTGTCCATCAACAGCAAAGCACCTGTAATGAATTCATCAGTCTCAAAATTTGTCGGTCCATCTGCGTCCATATTGGGTTTCGCAAAAAAGCAATATAAGACCTAAGCCTCCCAAACAGCTTCATCACCGGGCAAGAATCTGAGCTGCAAGTGTCTAAAATTGGGCATCTAGGAACGCTTACAGTGTTAGGCAAAGTTGCACGCCCATAATCTGCTGCTAGAGGACAAATCCCCAAATGCTCGGAGAAAGTATTGTTGTTCTACGTACCACTGCTCTAAATAATCAGACCAGTGTCTTTCTTCCCTTCCTCCTAATAATTTCCTAAACATCCCTCCTGAGCGCCAGGCGATGTGTCCGTGTATGTACTATTCTTTGATTCATGAACAGAGAAGCTTGGACCGTGTGTGAGTAATTTCGAGTAGCAAGCAGTATATCACTATATGTACCATACAGATTTCAGTGACAAGTATGGAGTCCTAGAAATTCTTTGCATAGCTACAGATTCCGTGACTGCATGCAAAACAACGCCACCGTCTGCAATGCAGCTTTGTCCCGGCCTGCCTTCATCCGCCGGAGATCTCAATGTGCAAGTCAGCAAGTGGTCGCACGAGCCCAAGATGGGGCGGCCTGATGTAGTAAGCTTCTGCCCCATTAGCTCATGTGTAGTAGGGGCCCAGCCTGTTTTTAGTTTTCTTTTTTCCTATAAAAAGGAACTTTTTGAAACAAGGCACTGCCAACTGCCATGTTTCCTCGTAAAGGAGACGGTTTCGCCATTCTTTCCTTAAAATAGTAGTCGGTTTCCTTAAAAATAGTAGTTAATTTCCTAGTATTCTTATAAAAAATAGACCGTTTTACCGTGTCAGTTACCGAGTTCCGGTTCATACTTTGAACATCACAATGGCTTACATACCTTTCTCTCCTTCTCTCTTCAAGTTGTGTTGACCATGACATCTCTCCTCCTCTGTGGATGCTCTATTCATTATCTCCAAAATGGAATGACTTCACCGTCAATTTTGCTCTATTTTCTTGCACATGAACCACATCAGATTGCTCTATCCACGTGTTTACACCAAAATTTGGAGAAGAACGCGGGAACTCGTAGGCTTCCAAGATTATGCCAATCAAGAAATCGATTGCATAAGGATCGATATCAGCCGATTCAGATATGACTCTAGAATCGGATCTTTTTGGATGACGTTAGCAGATAGTGATGAAGAGGTACGGTTGGCACCAGGAAAAACTACATATCGGACTCTACAAAAAGGGAAAGATTAGGGTCCAAGTTATCTTAAATTAGGAATGTTTTCTTCTATGCCGAAGATTGTAACGAGTCATGCTCGAGTAGGATTCATGTTTAGGCTCTGGTATAAATATCGGACCCCGGCTATTGTAAGAAACACAATCAATCAAATACAAGTTTCTTACTTTTTTCGGCTCCGGCCACCCCTTAGGAGTAGGAGTAGAGTAGATCTCGGCGAGTTCTTCAGCGAGCAAGGCTGCATCGGTCCGGCCGACCTCCAACTTGTCTGTAAGTACCGTCATGGCTTATACTTCTGTTCGTACGGCTACATTGATCCGGTCGACCTCCACTGCGACTTTGGTATAAGTTAGTTATCTACTCTTGTTTAGTTCAAGTACGGCTGCATCGATCCGGTCGACCTCCACTGCTCGAACTAGATTAAGGTCAAGTTATCAGCTCTATCTAAGGGTAGCGTTCCTTTGGATAGATTCATTAAGTTACCGATATTGCTTATTGCTTCCATTATTTATTTAATTACAGCAATATCACTTCGTCCGATTGGGATTGATCTAGATCGGCCCTATATCCTGTTTAACCCGTCGTTTGTTAATCTGAACTAATTCAATCTGCATCTTAAACGATGAGTTATGTTTTATCGACTGTTTTATGTCAATCTTGATCGTGCATAGTGTGCGGTCAAGGCATGTTTTGTCTTGAGTAGATCTATTGGCTAACGAAAATCATTCTATGGTCCGTTATCACGGCCTGTGTGATTCTACCTCACACCCCACTGTTAGCACCGTGGAGTGAAGATCGTTACTTGGTAGATCTGTTTCTGATAGGGCATGACCTTAACTGTATGCTATACCTGAATCGGTTGTTTTAGCCGATATCGAATGTTTTCACGAACAGTTCATGTCACGAGACCGTTGAAGTAAAGGTAGGTTGAAAGTTGTGTTAGCCCCATGATCTTATTATTGTATTACGACCTGCATGATTCTGCCTCATGCCCCACTGATATTAGTAATAAGTTAGTGTCGTCGAGTCTATTGTTGTTTCTACGGCCTGCATGATTTTGTCTCATGCCCCACTAGTCATAGCGATAGATGAGATCTAATATGTTCATTAGATTTATCTCTATTAAACAGTTAAATGATGATGAGATGTTTCTTTTACATAAAAAAGGGATTCGGTTACTTGTAGTCATTGGCTTAGCATAAACCAATTATTGTTGACATCTTATTGCCATTGACTAATATTTATCTAAACAATAATATTCATCCTAAATGATTACCGATTTTTCTTACGCAACCCCACGAGCTTTAACTGATTTATTCTTATGAATATGCTGGAATCGACTATTTAGTCGATCTCCTTTCATATCAGCTCTCAGAGCCGCACATTTGGGACTGTCTGGCAACACCGGCATGTTCCGCTTTAAATTACTGATTAGCTTTCTCTCCTTGTCAATTGCAGGGTCAAATTGACTAACATGTCTCAGGAGGAGTGCGCAGGATCGACCATC